AATAAAATAAAATAAAATAAAATAAAATAAAATAAAATAAAATAAAAAAAAAATAGAAATCTCTACACTCAACATGGGGTTTGAACTCATGACACCAAGATCAAGCATCACATACTCTTCTGACTGAGCTAGACAGGCACCCCATATATGGGTTGTATCATTTTTTTACGTTTATTTATTTAATTTTGAGAGACAGAGTGAGTCGGGGAGAGGTCGAGATAGAGAAAGGGAGAGAGAGAATGCTAAGCAGGCTCTGCGCTGTCAACGCAGAGTCAGACATGGGGCTGAAACTCAAACTGTGAGATCATGACCTGAGTGAAATCAGAGTCATATGCTTAACCAACTGAGCCACCCAAGCACCCCTGGGTTGTAACTTTAATGGGAAGAGGAAGAAAGGCAAAATAGGATGGTGGGGATATTAATAGGCTACCTCAAGTATTGTAACAGAGTCTGTAGACAGTGCCCCAAACTGAAAACATAAGAAACAGCACTATAAGCAGGTTATTTAGAGACATGGAGGAAGTCACCATGTGAACTGAAGGAAGAAATAGTTAATAGTTCTTGCTTCTGTAAAAGAGCAAAGGAAGGGGCTGGGCTGGGCTGGGGAGTAGCTGTACTATTTGACTTTCTAACTGTGACTCTGTCTTAGCCTTAAAAATAGGCAAGAATAGACAGCTATTAGGGTGAAACACATATCAGAGTTCATGGGAACAACTATTGCCGAATTCTTAATTTGTGTCACTATATCTGAATGGGAATTACCAAATTTAATCATGTGCTTAATAACATAGAGGTCACTTCAGTTTAACATAACACTACGGCCAGTTAGAAAGAAATTAGAGGCTTCTATTCCCACCCATATACGCCACTTATCCAAACTGGCATCTTGGAGCAAGGATCCACTTTAATCAATACTTTTACAGTAGATATCAGGGTTTTTCTGATATAAGCTAAAATTCTTTGCAATAAATCAGAATCAGAACTTTAACGAGCAAAGTTGTCCATGTTTACTTCCTTCACAGCGTTTCAGCAGTTCTTCAGCAGGCATCCCCCAAGAGTAGGGCACTTTAGACCAGCAAATTGACCAGGTCTGACGCTTACCCTTTACCTTCTTTTCAAAACCACATCCAATCCACCAGCAATGATAGGTCATCCTTCAAAATACAACAGAATTTGACAATTCTCACCACAGCCACTAATACTCTAATTTGAGCCATTATTATTATTTTCCACTTGGACCACTGAAATAGTCTGGTAACTGTTTCCATCCTTGCCCATGCAGCAGCCAGAGTGATCCTTTTTGAATGCTTGATAATTTGTGAAACAGTGGCCTATATGTTGTATCCACCCCACCTAATCCTCTATTTCTGTCCCTTTCATCCACTCCTCCCCAGCCACACTGATCTCCTGGATCTTCCCAGACCCTTTTGAACATCCTCTTGACCTCTGCTTGAAATGCTCTTCTCCCAGATAATGTAGCTTACTCTCTCATTTCCTTCAGGCTCTACTTTGTTACCTTATCAAAGAAGCTTTTCCTAACCACCTGATATATAAAGTAAGCATTCCCCTCCATCTCTCCAGCACTCTCCATTCCCCAAACTTGCTTAATTTTTCTCCATTATTCTCATCATGTCAGGAATGTTATGCGTTTCCTGTATTGTCTGTATTTTCCATTAGAATATAAGCTCTAGAAGAATTTTTCACTGCTGTATCCCTAGTGCCTAAAAGAATATCGGACACGTAATAGCTGCTCAATAAATGCTGTCACTTAAATGACACCTAACATGATTCCACAGGCAAATAATATGCCTTACAGCAATGCTTCCCTAAGTGTGAAATCTGTTTATAAATGATTTTACATAGTATAAAGGTATGCATTAAATAACACTGAATCAGGTAAAATAATCTTTTCTTTTCAATATTTTAATCCTTCTCATGTCAAGAAAGCCTCATTTAGTGCTAGTTTATCTCTGATACTTGATAATTTATCCTTTTAGAGAATAGAGAACGGCCTCATATTTAGAGTCTATTCAGAGCCTTTTGCAGCGAACAGTATCTGGCCAGAATTTTAATAACCTTGTTTTCATTGTACTATTTTTAGGGGCATTGTCTACTTCAATTAGGAGACTGGTAACATGTTAATCTCATTTAAATCCTGCAATAACTCTTAAGAAAGAAGTATCATTTTGCATTAGAGGAAACTCCAGATGAGTTTCCCATGAGACCAAAGTTTCCTTTGAGATAAAATTCACATAACATAAAATTCACTATTTTAAATATTTTAAACTGTACAGTTTCTTAGTATATTCACAATGCTGTACAACCATCATTACTATCCAATTTCAGAACATTCTCATCAACCCACTCCCCCCCCCCGAAAAACCTCATACCCTTTAGCTACCACTCCCAATATCCTCACTCTTTCCAGCCCTAAACTACCACTCATCTTTCTGTGTCTATATATTTGCTTAGTCTGGACATTTCATACTAAGAGAATCTTAGTCTTTTCACACTTAGCATAATGTCAAGGTTTATCCATTTTGTAGCATGAATCAGTACAGTACTTCATTTCTCTTTATGACTGAATAATGTTTTACTGTAGGGATATTTAAACCACGTTTCTCTACCTGTTCATCCGCTGATGGACAAACATTTGACTTGTTTCCACTTTGGGGCTATTACAATGCTTTAGCCACATAATGTACTAGTTTTTGTTTGAACATCTGTTTTTCAGTTTTCTTGGGTATACATCTAGGAGTATAATTGCTGAGTCATGTGGTAATTCTGTTTAACCTTTTTTTAAGTTTATTTATTTATTGGGCGTGGGGTGCGGGGAGCATGGAAGGAGCAGGAGTGAGGGAGAGAGAGAATCCCAAGCAGGCTCTGCACTGTCAGTGCAGAGCTTGACATGGGGCTTGAACCCAAAAAAGTGTGACCTGAACTGAAAACCAAGAGTCAGATGCTAAACCAACTGGGCCACAGAGGCACCCCAATTCTGTTTAATTAAAAAAAAATTTTTTTTTTTACATTTACTTATTTTTGATAGAGACAGAGCACAAGTGGGGGAGGGGCAGAGAGAGAAGGAGACACAGAATCCAATGCAGGCTCCAGGCTCCGAGCTGTCAGCACAGCGCCCAATGCGGGGCTAGAACTCACAAACCGCAGATCATGACCTGAGCCGAAGTCAGACGCTTAACCGAGCCACCCAGGTGCCCCAATTCTGCTTAATTTTTTGAGGAAAAGCTAAACTGTTTTACAAAGTGGCTGTATCATCTTGCGCTGCCACCACCAACACATGCTCCATTATTCTACATACTTACTGGAACTTGCAACTGTCCATTGTTTAAAAAATTTAGCCACTAAAATAGGTATTTCACTTTGGCTTTAATTTGCATTTTCTTCATGATGTTGGGCATCATTTCATGTGACTATTGGCCATATGTGTATTTATTTGGAGAAATATTGAAGCCTTTGTCCATTTTTATTTTTTTTAATTTTTTTTAAACTTTTATTTATTTTTGAGAGACAGAGAGAGACAGAGTATGAGCAGGGAAGGGGCACAGAGAGAGGGAGACACAGAATCTGAAGCAGGCTCCAGGCTCTCAGCACAGAGCCCCACACGGGGCTCGAACTGACAAACTGAGAGATCATGACTTGAGCGGAAGTCGGATGCTCAACCGACTGAGCCACCCAGGGGCCCCTGGCCTTTGCCCATTTTTAAATTGGGTTATTTTTGTTTAGTTGCACACGTTTCCTTATAAAATACGTTAAAAATATATATCTAAAGAAAAATATTAAGTAAACAAAAGTGCAATTAGACAAAAGTAGTGAAGGCTATATATAACGCAGGGACTAGTTTGAACAACACTTGACTCAGATCTGATGAAGAAGAATTCTGGAGTGTCACCATCAGGTTCAAAACCCAGTTCTGCTTCTAACGTGCTGTGCCTGGAACTTTCAGCAAGGTATGTAACCTCTTTCAGACTCAGATTTTCCGATTTTAAACCTGGGATTTTCCGTGCCACTTCAAAAAGCTGTTGGAACAATGAAATGACGAGGTGAAGCCCTACGCAGTGTTTGGCATGGCTAAGCACGCTATAAATGTTAGCTACTATGATGACAGGCCACGAAGTCTGGGGCTCTCCAAGTTCGGTTTGTAGAAGATTCTGCCCCCAACTGCAACAGCTACTAACCCACCTGCCCGGCGTCAGCGCGCACAGACCTCCAGGCGCGTGTTGCTCTCTCCACGACTGTCGCCAGGGCCCGTCCCTAGCTCAGAGCTTCTGGGACGGCGCCCCCTGACTTCCGTTTCCGGGGTAGTCCAGGCGGCTTCCGGCGGCGTGACCTGGGCGCGCTGGGCTGGCGGGTTGCCGCATCAGGAAGGGTCTGCGCTGGCTACCGGTAACCGGGCGGCTGGTGGGAGTGGCCGGGTGTGGCGCTGGCGACCTTCGGGAGGGAGGGGTGACCTTTGTCTTGCGACCCGAGCCGGCACCGAGCTGGACTTCAGCCCGATCCTATTGTGGATCCCTTTTTGTCCTCTGCTAGGCCTTCACCCGCACGCGTGGGAGTCCGGAGACGTGGGTTTTATTCCAGCCAGCGTCACTGATCGGCTCTCTCTGACCTTGGGCGGGATATGTCCTTTCGTGGGCTTCAGCTGCTTTAATTAGAAGATGGAAGTTGTATTCACAGGGATTATGAGCTCCTTAAGGGCTGGAACTGACTTTTATTAGTGTATATACATTGTTGCTTGTCCTGGCACAGAACTGTACAGTGTGGGTACTCTGTGCCTACTTAAGTTGTTTTGGGTCACGAAGCCTTTGAGAATCTGATGAGAGCTCTTGATCCCCACCTCCCACCTCTCTAAATCCCGCCCCCCAGCCCCCCCTCTTTGCTCAGATACAGGACATTGGCTTACTGTTTCAGATATTTCATATACTGTTTCTGCCCGTGGATCCCAGAGCTTGGCCTGTGGTAGGCATTCAAACATTTGCAGTCCATTAGATCCTAGATGTTCAGTTAATCATTTTTTTAAAAAAAAATTTTTTTAACGTTTATTTATTTTTGAGACAGAGAGAGACAGAGCATGAGCGGGGGAGGGGCAGAGAGGGAGACACAGAATCGGAAGCAGGCTCCAGGCTCTGAGCCATCAGCCCAGAGCCCGACGCGGGGCTCGAACTCGCGGACCGCGAGATAGTGACCTGAGCTGAAGTCGGACGCTCAACCGACTGAGCCACCCAAGCGCCCCTCAGTTAATCATTTTTAAACGCATGAGTCCCTGTCCACTTCATAGGAGAAAGATAGATATCCTAATAGCAAGTTTTAGTCATGGGTCTGGCAGTATGTTCTTGTCCCTTACATCTCCCAACAACTCTAGGAAAGAGGTATTATTTAATTCCCATTTTGCAGATGAGGAAATTGAAGCATAGAAGAGTAAACTTTTTAGGCCATTCACCCTGTGAATGGTGAGAGCGTGAATTCAGACCCATGTCTGCAGTTCCACAGGCGCATATTCTCAACTGCCAGCTGAAAAAGGACTGGATTTGGAACTATATTTGAATGTGCTCTAGCAGCCTTTGTGTGGGAATTGAGCTGGCTGTTAATACAGATGATCGCAAACCAAACATTGCATGCTATGGAAATACTCCTATTCCTCTGTCTCCTTTTCTTCCTCAGCATATTCCTTGTTTAGTAATATCACAGTTTACATCTTACCCTCTGTGCCCATGTTCTTCAATCCTTTTATCTTCAGTGAATATTGATTCAGGCGTGTTGAATGAATATGGCGGTAACAGTTGTGTGGCCTTGTTCTTCCAGCCCTCCAAAGCAGGTGTTTTTATTTATAGATGAACTATGAGGTGATACTGTTTAGGCGCTATCTTTTTTTCTTTTCTGTACTGCTTTTAAAGGGACTGTATTAGGAATCTTGGAAGCACTGCCAACATGTCTGATGTTCAAGAAGCCACTAACCAACTTCTGGATGTGAACCTTCATGGGAACCAGAGGTCTATACAAGTGACAGAAAGTGCTCCCAGAAGTGAGTCTGAGCACCTCCAAGTCACTATTGGAGCCACTGTACCTACCGGTTTTGAGCAAACAGCTGCAGATGAAGTGAGAGAGAAATTGGGGTCATCGTGCAAAATCAGCAAAGACCGGGGCAAGATATATTTTGACATTTCAGTGGAAAGTCTGGCTCAGGTTTGAATGAAGCAATATTAAAAATAGTTTTCTGAAAGGGTCATTTTATGATTACTTTCTGATATACAGACCCCTCTTGAATCTTTTTTGCTTTTCTTTACTCTGCCTCAAATCTGGTTATTTTAAAGTTATTACTGCATTTTCTATTTGGTACTGATTTGTGAATTTGACTAGTAGATTTGCTATATTTTTAGAAGTGATCTTAATATTTCCTGAGGATGAATTTCACCAGAAAGAATCCTTTGTGACTTTAAAAAATTTTTTTTCAACGTTTATTTATTTTTGCGACAGAGAGAGACAGAGCATGAACAGGCAAGGGGCAGAGAGAGAGGGAGACACAGAATCGGAAACAGGCTCCAGGCTCTGAGCCATCAGCCCAGAGCCTGACGCGGGGCTCGAACTCAGGGACCGCGAGATCGTGACCTGGCTGAAGTCGGAGCTTAACCGACTGCGCCACCCAGGCGCCCCATGTGACTTTTGAAGAAATTCTGAATATCTGCCAAACATCTTTGAATTTATTTACTTCGGCATTTAGCTGAAGTGTAGACTTTGGTGGTGAAGTGTATAAGGAGAGATTTTTCTTTTAATTTGTGTGAAAGAAATACTTGCTCAAAAGTAATTAGGAATCATTGAAATGGAGAAGTGAAGGTCAGCAAACTGCCATTCCACTAGAATAAAAGCTAACCATTATTTCATAACCATATAAGCATCATGAGAGCAGGAATTTTCTGAGTTTTTGTTTTGGCTGAAATCTCCCACGCTCTTAGTGTCTGGCATGTAGTAGAAATCCAGTAAATATTTGTGGGATGGATGGGAAGCGGATATTTTCCACCCAGTATCTTAGTACATAACCTTAGCAGCTTTGAGAAGATAGGTGCTATTATTATCCTCATTAATCGTTAGGCTTAGGGATAAGTAATTGGCCCAGGGTCACTCAGTTAGTAATCACAGCTGGAGCTCAAGCCCTGTGCTCTTAACCACTGCACAGGATACAGTGTACCGTAGGGAGCCATGAGAGAAATATACAGTAAAGCCCCACTTGACTGTCTTCATCTTTCCTTTCTCCCCCAAACCTGTGTTTCCCAGGTAACATTTTAAAGCTATCCTTCCATCTTCCTTTTTCCTTTTCTGTAGGAGTATAGAAGCTAATGGGGAACCCAAAACATGGGAGACTGGGGAGATGAGAAAAGTTAAAATACAAATTATAGGTATTACCTATTTTAAAATCTTTGTATTTAATTTTTGTATTTAAATTTGTAAAATGTGGGCGCCTGGGTGGCGCAGTCGGTTAAGCGTCCGACTTCAGCCAGGTCACGATCTCGCGGTCCGTGAGTTCGAGCCCCGCGTCGGGCTCTGGGCTGATGGCTCAGAGCCTGGAGCCTGTTTCCGATTCTGTGTCTCCCTCTCTCTCTGCCCCTCCCCCGTTCATGCTCTGTCTCTCTCTGTCCCAAAAATAAATAAACGTTGAAAAAAAAATTTTTAATTTGTAAAATGTTTATTTTTCAGAGAGAGAGAGAGAGAGCACATGTGCACACGAGCACGAGTGGGGGAGGAGCAGAGAGAGAGGGAGACACAGAATCTGAAGTAGGCTGTAGGCACTGAGCTTCAGCACAGATCCCCTTGCAGGGCTTGAATCCACAAACCGCGAGATCTTGACCAGAGCCCAAGTTGGATGCTTAACTGACTGAGCCACCAAGGCGCTCCCCTTCCCCATTTTTTTATTTAAATATTGATAGTTTGTGTGATTCAAAAGCTTTCTCATAAATTTGTTTCTAACATTTTTTTCCCTCCCCCAGGTTCATTGTCTGAGATCAGTTGATAACTTATTTGTGGTTGTTAAGGAGTTTAAAGATTACCAGTTCAAAGAAACGAAGGTGAGTTTTCCCACAGTAGCTGACTTTCAGTCTCTCCCCAAAGAGATTATTTCCACTTTTTGCATTCTAACATTTAGCATTACTACTGCTTTTATAATCTAGAATCCTGGGAGGCTTTTATAATAAAATTCAGAGATTGGTGGACAGTCCATCTCAAAAGTTGTTTTGAAAAAATCAATATTGTGGGTAGTGGACACAATGGATGGAAAGGCTCAAAAGGTACAAATTTATACCATGTAAAATTACATGGAGATGTAATGTAGAGCATTGACTATATATTATTTACATAGCATGTATAGCAATGACTATAGCTAAAGATACTGTGTTGCATATTTGCAAGTTGCTAAGAGAGTAGATCTTAAAAGTTCTCATCACAAAAACCATTTTAAAACTATGTGTGGTTACAAATATGAACTAGACATTGGTTGGTGATCCTTTCACAATATATACAAATATTGAATCATGTTGTATACCTGAAACTAAAATAATGTTATATGTTACTCTTCTTTCTAAAAAGATGAGAGAATAACAAAAAAACAAGTAAGTGAAAGTCAATATAGAAAAACATAAAAGTGTATAACAAATAAAATAAGTTGTGTGACTTTCTTAGCAAAAGATACATACCTTAGATTAGGTTTACTGACATACATGGTTTTAGAGTAGAATTGCTTCCAGGCTATGAATCAAAGATTAAGTGACTGAGTCGTCTACAAATAACACTTTCTCTCACAGTTCTTTCTTTTGTAGAACTGTTACCTTCTCTAACATCATATTTTGAAATATAGCTAATATGTAAATACTCCTTTACTTGTTAAGGCAACAGCTTTGTCTCCAACTTGTATTTAGCATCTGATTTCTAAATATTGATATGCTGCCTAAGTTGAAGTTTGAAAAAGAGATTTCAGTAAGGTCTTAGTATTTTTCCACATTATTTTTTAGTCAGGTTTCCAGAGTCAGATGCTTGAAAACTTTTCTATCAGTTTTATTGCTTATATTAGAAACACTGTGTCTTTTAAATCCATGATATACTGCCTGATTCTCTGATTTTTATTTATTGGCAACAGATTGATTTCCGAAGCATTATTCAATAACCAATCAAAGTGATGTGAACCCACAGCCTAGAAAAAATAAAAACAGACCTAAAAGATTTCCAATTGAAAATAGATTAAAATTTTATTAAGAATATAACTTTCAGCACTAGTAGTATAATCTTGCAGACTTCTGATAATCATTGTCAACTGAATCATGTCTATGAAACTAGACATAACAGGCAGCTGCTGAAAATTTTTGCTGCTTAGTATTTGGAAATTTTAATAGCTAATTCTATACATGAGTAAATGCTAACAGGCATTTTTAAAAACTATTAAATATTAAAAACCCTGTAAAGTTTCACTTTAAATTCTTGCCTTTATAGCATTATTAATATTTTTGTATTACTTTGTGCAGTTTGATCTCTAATTGGAGGTGAATTTGATACTATGTAATGGTTCTATATGAGCCAGCTTTGCAGAGTAGCCTTGTAAGTTAACTGCCAGAAGAGGTTGCTGATAAAGTCCCAAAAGAAGAGCAGCAAGGATTAAAGTAGATTTTCAGAACTATGCAAGAGCATATGTGTGACCATGAAAAATGATTTAGCCTTTCACTTTGAGGACTTATTTGCACCATGCCCCAGTAAAAGCTTGTTTTTAAATATTTGCTTCTTGGGACGCCTGGGTGCCAGCATCCCACCCTGGTCATGATCCCAAGGTCGTGGGATCGAGCCCTACTTCGGACTCTGTGCTGAGTGTGAAGCCTGGTTGGGATTCTCTCTCTCCCTCTGCCCCTCTCCCCTACTTTTTCTCTTTCTCTTTCTCTAAAAAAACAAAGCCAAAAGACTTTAAAAAGTAAGTAAATAAAGATTTGCTTCTTGCTTTTTGTTGACTGTCATTTTCGCTGTAGCATTATACTTTCCCATGTCTTATAAAAAGGCTTGATTAGCATCCTGATAGGTCCTTTCCTTTTTAAGTATTCAGATAATATCATGAATTGATTAACCTGTTTAAAAAAAACAAAAAGCTAACATTTGTGCTTTATATGTTTTTTTTTAAGCTAGGTAATTTAGGGGAAATTGTAAAGACCAAAAAGGATACGCAGTGGAAATGTTTGTTCCTATATCTCCATACAGTGCAGTTCCCTCCCTGGAGGCAAGAATCATTCCCAATTTCTTGGATATTCTTCTAGAGATATTTTATAAATATGTGCATTTTATTTACTTACGCAAATGAAAACATACCATACATACTGTTCTGTGCTGTGCATTTTCTCCTATATCTTGAAGAGCATGCCAATATCATCACTAGATTTCACTACATCTTAATTTAATCACCCCTATTTAGGACATCAGGTTTTTTCAGACTGTTGCTACTATGGTGGTTGAACAAATATCTTCTGTACATCCTTGCGTGTATTTAATCTGAGGGTCATTTTTCTTTCTTTAAGTTCCATTTATTTAATCTCTGCACATGTGGGGCTTGAACTCATGACCCCAAACCAAGAGTTGCACACTCTTCCGACTAAGCCAGCCAGGCACTACCTGTAGGGTCATTTTTCTCATTAATAAGATAGTTTAACCCTCCCCTCCTTCCTTTTCCCCCTGAAGTTTGTTTTTTTTTTTTCAACGTTTATTTATTTGTGGGACAGAGAGAGACAGAGCATGAATGGGGGAGGGGCAGAGAGAGAGGGAGACACAGAATCGGAAACAGGCTCCAGGCTCGGAGCCATCAGCCCAGAGCCGACGCGGGGCTCGAACCCACGGACCGCGAGATCGTGACCTGGCTGAAGTCGGACGCTTAACCGACTGCGCCACCCAGGCGCCCCTTCCCCCTGAAGTTTTATTATTCATCTTAGTGTTGATCTGTAGGCTTTAATTTCTATCCTTTAATCTCTTTTAATTTTTTTTTTATCTTTATTTTTGAGACAGAGAGACAGAGCATGAGCAGGGAGGGGCAGAGAGAGAGGGAGACAGAATCTGAAGCAGGCTCCACACTCAGAGCTGACGACACAGAGCCCGATGCGGTGACCTGAGCCAAAGTCAGACGCTTAACTGACTGAGCCACCCAGGCACCCCATACCCTTTAATCTCTTGGTGGAGGAGGATATCAGCATCTCCTCTTTCCTTTCGCCTCCAGCTACCTTCCAGTTTGTAATATTTAAGTATTGTCTGTAGTCATAATCCTAGTTTTCTTTTTATCACTTGAATGGCAGTAGTTCAGAAATGATTGTTTTTCACCTTTATGTTTGATGAATAGTTTAAGTATAAAATTTGGAGTCATGCTTTTCTTCCTGAAAAATACCGTAGGCTATGTTCATTTTCTTCTAGTGTTAAATGTTGCCATGAAAAATTTTTGAAGCTATCTTGATATTTTTCCCCCTTACTTGTTGCTTTTTTGATACTTTTGCTTCATGCCCAGATTTTACTTTTAATCTCTGAAGTCTCATAAATTCACCAGGATATGTCTCATGATAATTCCTTGTCAAGACATGTCAGTCTGTAGAGAAGTTCACATCCACATACATTTCTTGAAAGTTTTCTTGAGTTACTATTTTTTTTTATTAAGCTCTGCACCCAATATGGAGCTGGAACTCGTGATCCTGAGATCAAGAGTCACATGCTCCACCCACTGAGCCAGACAGGTGACCCTAAAATATTTTTTGTTTCATTATGTCAGATCCTTTTCAGAGATAAACCAGTTGTACATATGCAGGGTCTCCTGACTTTGTTTCATATTTTATCATTTTCTTTGTATACTTTTTGCTTATTTCCATTGTATTTGCTTTACTTTTCTCTACATTACTTACTGTGTTTTCATCAGTGTCTTTTATATGTGGTGCTTTCCATATGGTCTTCATTTTGCGGTGTTGTTTTTTTTTTTTTTTTTAATTCCACTTACTCTTTGACATCTGTGAGCTCCTGTTTCATCTTTTTATGGTGGCTTACCTCATCTCCTTTCCACTGTTGTATCTCCGCTTGGAGCTCTTATTTTACAAAGGTATTTCCTCATTACATTTTTTATTTTATCACAGTTTTTGAGGTTTTTTTGTTACTTATTTTTGAGAGAGAGGGAGAGAACAAGCATGGGTGGGGGAGGGGCAGAGGGAGTAAATCCCAAGCTGGCTCTGCGCTCAAACCCACAAACTGTGAGATCATGACCCAAGCTGAAATCAGGAGTCGGAGGCTTAACCGACTGAGCCACCCAGATGCCCCATTGGTCAAAGTTTTCAGCTGCTCTGTGGCAGTGTCTTTCTGGTCCCTGTTTTTGTCTGCTCCCTTTGTTTTTCTGTTTCTTTCCTCCTTTGTCCTTTCTTATGTTCATATAAGTGCTGTGCTGATAACTTTTGATGATTGGTCATCTGTGAATGAGGAAGTTCCTCTTGGACCTGCTATTGTTAGGAGGTTCTTCTGGGAGAAGCCAGGAACTGTTCCAGGCCAGCAAGAAATCCCCCTGCTTCACTGTGAAGTTCCTTCTTGGTTGTAGATGAATGAGTTCTCTCTTCCTTCCTTATTTAAATTTTTTTCCCACCCCTGCCGTCTCCCCTTCCTTCTTTTTTTTTTTAACAGCATTATTGAGGTATAATTTCCATACTATTGCATAAGTTCTTTTAACCATTACGTCTCTCTAGCCTGAAGGGATCAGCAGCTTCAGGGTTATTTACAGTGTAGAACATCTCTCCCCAGCTCTACCTCATCTACACTGTTTCCAGCAAATAGACCATGTCCATAAGATTCCTTGTTCAGCTTCCATTTCTCTCCCCTGTTTATTCTTGTTACAGATGAAGTTCAAGGAAGCTCCTTCTGTCAGTATATATACTTGCCCTGCTATTCCAAAGGAGAGTTTATTTTGCTACTTCTTTGTAGACTTCTCTGACCTTTGTCTGAGACCTTTGTCTGGTGTCTTCCTATACCTCTGTTTGGCCTTCACTGCACTTGGGAATCTTATGTTAGAATTGTTATATTATGGTTCAAGGTTATAGGTATCATATAGATTCTACTTTATCTATAGATAAAGTTGGTGGGGCACCCCAGTGGCTCAGTTGGTTGAGTGTCTGACTTCGAGTCAGGACATGATCTCAGTGTTCCTGAGTTTGAGCCCCGCATAGGGCTCTCTGCTGTTAGCACAGAGACTGCTTCGGATCCTCTGTCCCCCTCTCTCTCTGCCCCTCCCCCACTCATGTTTTTCTCTCTCTCTCTCTCTCTCTCTCTCTCTCAAAAATAAACATTAAAAAAACTTAAAAAGATACAGTTGGTATTTCTGTTGTTGGTGTTTAGAATGGTGTCTAGAGAAAGAAAGGGGCTATACTAGTGTTCTCCATTATATTAAATCTCCAATACCTGTAGATGCCTTTTATGGGGAAATAATTTGGTTTTTTTTTTGTTTTGTTTTGTTTTAATTTTTTTTTTCAACGTTTATTTATTTTTGGGACAGAGAGAGACAGAGCATGAACGGGCGAGGGGCAGAGAGAGAGGGAGACACAGAATCGGAAACAGGCTCCAGGCTCGGAGCCATCAGCCCAGAGCCCAACGCGGGGCTCGAACTCACAGACCGCGAGATTGTGACCTGGCTGAAGTCGGACGCCCAACCGACTGCGCCACCCAGGCGCCCCTATGGGGAAATAATTTGTATACAGAATTGAATTTGCCAAACCTGAAATTTACCATTATTTCATCAGGTTTCAAGTAGTATGAAAGCCTTCACTCACCTCATCCCCATTTCAAGTCTCAGTTCCATCAGTGAACACTGACCTCTTTCTAACTTGATGTTCAGTACCATATATTGTATATACCAGCACTCTGCAATAGAACTTTCTGATGGGAATGTTTTAGGTCTACTGTCCAGCACTAACCACTAGCCATTAGTGTGTGAAATGTGGCTAATGTGATTGAGAAACTGAGTTGGTTTTTTTTTTTTTTTTAAGTAACCTCTAAGCTCAACGTACAGCTTGAACTCATGACTCTCATGACTCATGTGATCATCACATGCCCTACCAACTGAGCCAGCCAGGTGCCCCTGAGCTTTTAATTTTAAATCATTTTAATTTCAATAGCTACATGTGGCTAATGGCTGCTGTATTGGATGGCATGGCTCTGCATCACACATTTTAACATTTTATCACATATTATCCAGCAGCTGTTTATTGAAAACCATTTGTATGCCATGCGCTGTTGTAGGCATGTGGCTTATAGAAGTAGTCAAGACAGGTAAGGTCCTTTCCACCCTCTTCTGGGAGAAGCTTTGATAGCGAACAAAACATAAATCTGGTAACTTCAGATAATGCTTAGCTCTATAAAGAGAATGGGAAGAGAATGACTTGAGAGGACTGCGTTATGAAGAGCAGGTCTCTCAGAAGATATGCCTTTTAAAATTTTTTTTTTTTTTCAACGTTTATTTATTTTTGGGACAGAGAGAGACAGAGCATGAACGGGGGAGGGGCAGAGAGAGAGGGAGACACAGAATCGGAAACAGGCTCCAGGCTCTGAGCCATCAGCCCAGAGCCTGACGCGGGGCTCGAACTCACAGACCGCGAGATCGTGACCTGGCTGAAGTCGGATGCTTAACCGACTGCGCCACCCAGGCGCCCCGAAGATATGCCTTTTAAATTACTATTAATAATGACTAGGCGAGGGGCGCCTGGGTGGCTTAGTCGGTTAACCATCTGACTTCAGGTCATGATCTCACAGTTTGTGGGTTCGAGCCCCATGTTGGGTTCTGTGCTTACAGTTTGGAGCCTGAAGCCTGCTTCGGATTCTGTGTCTCTCTCTCTGCCTCCCCTGCTTATCCTTTATCTTTCTCAAAAAGAAATAAATGTTACACAAAATAATGACAAGGGAGCCAGCAGTACAGAGACCATGTGAAGCAATTATCTTCTAAGTAGAGGTAAAAAGAACAGTCCTGAGGTGATGTAAGAGAAATAGGCAGAGGTCAGATTATATTGGGCTTTTTTTTTTTAGTTTTTTTTAACATTTATTTATTTTTGAGACAGAGAGAGACAGAGCATGAACGGGGGAGGGTCAGAGAGAGGGAGACACAGAATCCGAAACAGGCTCCAGGCTCTGAGCTGTCAGCACATAGCCTGATGCGGGGCTTGAACTCACAGACTGTGAGATCATGACCTGAGCTGAAGTCAAATGCTTAACCGACTGAGCCACCCAGGCGCCCCTATATTGGGCTTTTTAAGGAATTTAGATTTTTTTATGTGCAGTGAGAAGCTGTTGAGGGACTTTAAGGAAGGGAGGGACATGATCAGATTTACATTTTAAAAAGATGATTCTAGGGGTGCCTGGATGGCTCAATTAAGTGTCCAACTTCGGCTCAGGTCATGATCTCATGGTTCGTGACTTCGAGCCCCATGTTGGACCCTGGGCTGACAGCTCGGAACTCAGAACCCAAAGCCTGCTTTGGATTCTGTGACTGTCCCTCTCTCTGCCCCTCCCCTGCTCACGCTCTCTTTCTCTTTCTCTCTCAAAAATAATATAAACGTTAAAAAAATATATAAAAAGATGATTCTAGACGTTATTTACAAATTGGATAGATAGGTTTTTAACTGCTTAAGGTTGTTTTTACTTTTTTTTTGTGGGTTTTTTTTTTTTTTTTTTTTGCTTTGTTGTCCCTTTTAAAAACTATTGCTCTTTAAAAGAGTATTACTTTTAAAAGTAGTGTGGGGGCTCCTGGGTGGCTCAGTCAGTTGGGCGTCCGACTTCGGCTCAGGTCGTGATCTCGCAATTTGTGAGTTGGAGCCCCGCATTGGGCTCTGTGCTGACAGCTCGGAGCCTGGAGCCTGCATTGGATTCTGTGTCTCCTTCTCTCTCTGCCCCTCCCCCACTTGTGCTCTCTCTCTGTTTTAAAAAAAAAAAAAAAAAAAGTAGTGTGTTTACACAGCACAAAATTCAGAAGGAGGTCAGTCAGTAAGAGGTAAGTTGCCCTCCTTCCCCTGTCTTTACCCACCCACTTCTCCTATCCAGAGGTAATCGTTAATACTTTCTGACTGCTTACATTTTAATCTTGAAGCCCAACCTCTGATCTCCTATTCTATCTTGTATTATGTATTAGTGGCTTAATTTGTGTATCTTAATTTTCAATGAGATTTTAATTTCCTTAATTGTAGGCATTACCTATTTCCTCTTTTGTTCTGCACTCCTACCACCTCCAGCATCTATAGGCTGAGTAGAGATTTGTTCAATGAAAGTGGTGAGAGGTGCATGGATTTCATCATTCTCTGTCTTTCACAGGAAGAAGTTTTAAAGGATTTTGAAGAGTTGGCTGGGAAGCTTCCATGGTCAGAACCTTTAAAAGTATGGAATGTTAACACCAGTTTCAAGAAAAAAAAAACAAAGCGCAAAAAGATAAATCAGAATTCAAGTAAAGAGAAGATTGATAATGGACAAGGAGATAAAGCAGATGAGAGGGATGATAAAAAAGGATTCACCAACAAAACCTTAGATTCCCGTATCTTAGACTATTACGAAAATCCAGCCATTAAAGAAGAGATATCAACATTAGTAGGGGATGATTTGGCATCTTGCAAAGATGAGACTGATGAAGGCTCAAAAGAAGAAACTCCTGAGGTGCTGAAGTTTAGAGTCACATGCAACAGGGCAGGAGAAAAACACTGCTTTTCCTCAAATGAGGCTGCAAGAGATTTTGGGGGTGGTGTTCAAGATTATTTTAAGTGGAAGGCTGACATGACCAACTTTGATGTGGAGGTATGTGCCCCTGATTGTGATGATTCGAGAAGGCCATCACAGACACATAGCATTTTCAGACTAACCACTTTTATGGGCAGTTAAATTGCTACCACATAGCTAACAGGGTGTGGTTAATAAGAGCATGGGCAGACATCTTGATTCAGATTTAGAATCTACAACTGCATAACTTTGGACAAGATATTGTTTCTGAGCCTCTGTTTCAAAGGGAGCCAGTAATAGTATATACCTGTAAGTGTGTCCTGAAAGTTAAATGAGATAATACATTTTAGGGTTTTGGTGCAGTACCTGGTATATAGTAAGTGCTCAGTAGATAGATGGGAGTTATTAAGACTTGAGTTTTCTCATCTAGTACTTTTTACGTTATATGGACTTTCAGATTGTAAAATCCAACCAGAATTAAAACAGTTACTTTGTTTTTATGTGTCTTGGTTGTAGAGTTTTACTACTGAAAAGAAGTGGAGTACGTTTTTAAAGCAAACCCCAGCCTCTTACAAGGAGGTTGAGCGTCATTGCTCATTCTCATCCACAGCCAGCTCTTTATTAAATACTGCTAGATTGATACACTCACATGCCTCTTTTAGCATACTTACTCTTGATTCACATGTGGGCCATGCTTAGTAGCCTTTACAATCTCTGACAGCTCAAAAGGCCTCTAGCAGCCAACACTTTTTCCAAGAAGTCATTTTCTGTTGCTTTTGGGAAACTTGAATCTAGGCAAGTAACTTACTCTCTCTGTATGCTTTCCTTGCATATCAAATCAGAAGAATAATTCCCCATTCCTTTTTATCGTGTAATAGGTGTTATGAGAATGACTAGGCTATTAGTACAGTAATGTTGAAAAGTTAGCAGCAGGGATGGGGGGTGCAGTGCTCAGAGCTGCACTGCCTGGGTTCAAATCCCAACTTAAATGCTGTAAGACTTGGGGCAAGTAAGAGGACCTCTTTGTGCCTCAATCTCCTTATCTTTAAAAGGAAGATAATAATAATACCTGGCTCACGTGAAACTAATGTCACATTGTGTGTAAAGTATACTTTAATATAGTTTACAATATAGTTTACAATGTCAATAAAAAAAATAAATTAATTAAAAAATTAATTTAAATTTTTTTTTTCAACGTTTATTTATTTTTGGGACAGAGAGAGACAGAGCATGAACGGGGGAGGGGCAGAGAGAGAGGGAGACACAGAATCTGAAACAGGCTCCAGGCTCCGAGCCATCAGCCCAGAGCCCGATGCGGGGCTCAAACTCCCGGACCGCGAGATCGTGACCTGGCTGAAGTCGGATGCTTAACCGACTGCGCCACCCAGGCGCCCCCAAAAATTAATTTAAATAAAATAATTTAAATAAATTTTATTAATTTTAATTTAAATTAATTAAAATAAATTTTTAAAATAAATTAAAAAAAATACCTAGCATGGGGGAGCCCTAGGTGGTTCAGTCAGTTGAGCGTTTGACTCTTGATCTCCGCTCACGTCATAATCGCACAGTTCATGGGTTTGAGCCCCACGCTTGCAGTGCAGAGACTCCTTAGGATTCTCTCTCTCTGGCGCTCCCCTGTTTGCTTACTCTCTCTTCTGTCTCCAAATAAATCAATAAAAACTTACGGACGCCTGGGTGGCTCAGTTGGTTAAACGACCGACTTCGGCTCAGGTCACGATCTCACAGTTTGTGAGTTTGAGCCCCACGTCGGGTTCTGTGCTGACAGCTCAGAGCCTGGAGCCTGCTTCAGATTCTGTGTCTCCCTCTCTCTCTCCCCTCCCCTACTCACACTATGTCTCTCTGTCTCTCAATAATAAATAAATGTTAAAGGAAAAAAAAATTTTTAAAAATAAAAACTTAAAAAATACGTATTAAAAAAATATATGGTTTGGAGAGTGTGAATCTGAAATGAGGTAATGCATGTAAAGTGTATAGAACAATGTTTTGCACATAGGAAGTGATAGATAAGTGCCTATGCTGCTGCTATTGTTAAGATCATGTTGGGGCGCCTGGTGGCTCAGTTGGTTAAGCGTCCGACTTCGTCTCAGGTCATGATCTCATGGTTTGTGAGTTCAAGCCCCGCGTTGGGCTCTGTGCTGACAGTTTGGAGCCTGGAGCCTGCTTCAGATTCTGTGTCTCCCTCTCACTCTGCCCCTTCCCTGCTCATGCTCTGTCTCTCTCAATAATAAACGTTAAAAAAAAAAAAATTAAGAGAAAAGATCATGTTACGTGGAAGACTGGAGAACATTTTATTGTTATTGAATATATTTCACTGTGTGTTAGAAAAACAATAGGATAAAATAGTCACAGGCATGATTAAGTCATTTAAAAAAACAAAACAATAGGTGATAAAGCAAATGTGACACATTGTTAACAGTTGGTTAATCTAAGTGAAGGGTACATTTTATTTAAGAGTTCATTGTGCAAGTATTCTAGTAGTATTTCTGTATGTTTGAAATTTTTCAAAAAGTTAAAATGGATGTTAAGCCATAAACCTTCAAAATATGTTGGTATTGTAAAAATCCAGGGACTATCTGGTTATAGCTAACTTATAACGAATGAAAAAAAGATATTCTTTCTTTTTAATATGTATTTATTTATTTTGGAGAGAGAGCGTGTGCAAGCAGGGGAGGGCAGAGAGACAGAGAGGGAGACGCAGAATCTGAAGCAGGCTCCAGGCTCTAAGCTGTCAGCACAGAACCCAATGCAGGGCTCGAACTCACAAACTGTGAGATCATGATCTGAGCCAAAGTTGGACGCTTAACCGACTAAGCCATGTAGGTGCCCCAAAAATTAAAATAGATTTAAAAATTTGAAAGTGGTATAGACTAGATTATTTCATTTATATGAAGTTCAAAAAGAAGAAAACTAATTTGTGGTGGTAGTAGATTTTTATTTTTCTTAAAGGTTTTATTTTTAAGCAATCTCTACACCCAGTGTGGGGTTCAAACTCACAACCCTACGATCAAGAGTTGCATGCTCTAGCAACTGAACCAGTCAGGCGCCCCTATTTTATTCTGTCTTTTATTATAGGTTCTTTTGAACATCCATGATAATGAAATTGTTGTGGGCATTGCATTGACAGAAGAGAGTCTCCATCGAAGAAATATCACACATTTTGGACCTACAACTCTGAGATCTACTCTTGCCTACGGGATGCTCAGGTAAGAGAATGGGTTTGCCATCTAGATTAAAGTGACATCTTGGTTTTAATTTTCCCTTTATTTTATTTTATTTTTTTTTAATTTTTTTTTTTTTTAATTTTTTTTTCCAACGTTTATTTATTTTTGGGACAGAGAGAGACAGAGCATGAACGGGGGAGGGGCAGAGAGAGAGGGAGACACAGAATCGGAAACAGGCTCCAGGCTCTGAGCCATCAGCCCAGAGCCCGACGTGGGGCTCGAACTCACGGACCACGAGATCGTGACCTGGCTGAAGTCGGACGCTTAACCGACTGCGCCACCCAGGCGCCCCTAATTTTCCCTTTAAAACACTTTACTTTTTTGTGAAGTACTGTGTTGGATTTTGGTGGGTAAACAACAGGATAAAAAGGTAATAGTCTCTTTCTTTCTCTTATATCCCATGTTGATTCCTTGTGGTCCTGAAAATATCATTTAACTACTGTCTCAGCTTTGTTTTTAAATGTTTATTTTGAGAGAGTGAGAATGTGTGACCCACACGTGCCCGTGGGTAGGGGAGGGGCAGAGAGAAAGGGAGAGACAGAATCCCAAGCAGGCTCCATAGTCAATACATGGAGCCCTACTGTGTGGGGCTCAGTCTCACCACCATGAGATCATGACTTGAGTTGAAATCAAGAGTTGGACACTCAACCAACCAAGCCCTCTTAATTTTCTTGTTTTTGTTTTGTTTTGTTTTTAAGTTTATTTATTTACTCACAGAAAATGTGAGCAGGGGAGGGGCAGAGAGAGAGCAGGAGAGAGAATCACAAGCAGGCTCAGAGCCTGGACAAGAGATGTGATTCAAGAGCTGTGAAATCATGACCTGAGCCGAAGTCGGACACTCAACCGACTGAGCCACGCAGGCACCCCTATGTGTAATTTTTTTTAAGCTCTAGGATATAGAGTCAGCCTATAATTACAAATTGATTTTTAAAATGAATATTGATTGGTGTTACTTTATGCTAACATAATAGGTCCTTGATCTTACAGCTTCAGGAATAGTCTGTGTGAAAGTCTCAGCTATTGATTAAAGTCTTTTTATATAAGCTATTTTCTTTCCTATAGGCTCTGTGCTCCTCAACCTACTGATATAATAGTTGATCCGATGTGTGGAACAGGGGCAATACCAATAGAGGTAATAACTTTTCTTTACCTTTTAGATAAGCATGTGATATATCAAGTGTTTTGGAACTAATGGGCAAATTATGAAATCACCAGCATGGGGTCAGTGGACCTAAAAGTGTTAAAAGAAAATTAAAAAAAATAAAAAATAAAGAATTATAATAGTAAAGCTCGAATTTTTGTGTGGAGGATATAACCACCTATTACAACTAGCTAAGGACTGATAGATTATAAGTGATGGTTACTCCGTGGATTGCAGCAGAGGCTGATAATTACAAACTGGTGAGTCCCTTTTCTATAAAAGACAAGTTGGTAGACTTGAACAGAAAAGATATTGAAGGCATAAGCAATAAACTGGAGGAAGGTGTTTCATCTCTATAAAGTGAGATTATGCTTCTTAACCCACTTAGGTTCTTAGAGGGAGTAAATATAGTTGTAAAACAGAAACCTATGCATGTTATTTAGATTTTTTACGAAGTCTAACAAGGTCACACATCAAATGCTCTTAAATAGTTTTCAAAATTACTGATACTGAGAGGATTCAAAAACTGTAAAGCAAGGGATAGAAAGGCATTTTCTAAGTGGAGAATATTTAACAAGAGACTGAGTCTCCTTGAATCAGTATTATCTATACTTTTACAAATAATTTGGAAGAGGGTACTTCTGTTTAAAATTACTTAAAGTTATGATTCATGGTATGTTCTTACATACAGTATACTTAAAGCCAGCGGGAATATACTGAAGAAGATACACACATTCTGTGAGTGGGCAGAATCTGGACAGTCCAAAGCAGCCACAAAGGGAAAAATAATCTAAACTACAGTTAGAAAATGACATGTTTCATCTGGGAGTTGAAATTCCAGAAGGAAATCTTTAATAGTCTAAAAGACTACTATTTTCTGGTAGTGTGAGCTAGAGAAATTGACTCTCGCTAAAGAAATGCACACAGAGAAAACTCAGTTGCTGTGAAGAAAAATTCTGGGAACAAAGCAAAGTGTTATTCTCTAGCATTAAACCATGACGTGTCTATGTCTGAAATAGCATGGAAAGCCACAAAATGTCAAGAAATATACCACAGAGCTAGAGAGAGTCCAGAAGAGCCCCCCCTCCAGCTGAAAAAGATTAAAAAAAGATTGAGGCATTTCTACCTAAGAGTAGACATGAGGATGTCAATATTGAAAAAACGAAGCTGCTATATAATCAGAATGAATGAAGTATGAAAGGAATTGACAGGGTATGTATACAGAATTGTTCACCATAGTATAAAATACCTGATCTAGAGTACTCTTTAAAACTTTGTAAGTTCTATAAAATTCATCTCTTTCAAAAGAAGCTGAAAATCTAAACACATTTAGACCCAAAAAAATGAGTGTTGGGGAATCACAATCATCTGAAAGGTTTTCATCAAATTCTGAGGGTCCTTTCTACATCACCCTCAAGTGTGTGGGCAAAAGAAAAGGTGATGAAGCCTTGTGTCCGTGGATATGGGTTATTACTCTTTACAAAAGAAGAGTCCTAAATAGAGAGCAGAACTTTCATGTCAGACACCTTCTATTAATCTACCTAGAACATTGTTCAGCCTAGGGTAGTGTGTCACCTCCTTCCACAGATGAGATGTAAGATTGGTATTTATGATCTGTTCACATGTTTTTGACTTAACATTACAAAATCCTTTCAGGGATGTGGTGGTTGTCATTCAGAGGCCTGTGCCATGGTTATTACATTTTCTTTTGAAATTTTCAAATATTCTAATATATCAGATTCTATAAAATTCTGTGATCACAAAGGGTATAGGTTGGTCACTTTAATTTGGTTACATTTTCAAACCGTGTTTGTATTTTAGGTCTGAAATGCCTACTATGTGCCAGACATTGCTGGCTGAGGGATTGAATAAAATACGAGACTTGTCCTTAGGGAGATTCCTTGCGAAGCAGACGAGTACAGAAATAATTAAAAAGAAGTACAGTGGCAGAGTATGTACAAAATGCTTTGGGGTGGGGAGGCAAATGAGAGGCAGCTTGGAGAGTTGGGGTTGATGTGAGAGGGCATGACATTTGAACTAGGTCTTGAAAGATAGGTAGGAATTCAGCAAGTGAGAAAGAACAGAAGGCCTTTTTAAGCAAGGGGAATAGCAAAGTTCACAACATGCAGTGTTCTGTCACTTAAGAAAAGCATTGGGTTATTGGTTTGATTGTCTAGTTTATTGACATTCGTTGAAATTATTTTCCCTTTAATCATTTTTGGGTTTTTTTTTTTACAGTTTGCTACTTTGGTTTTAATATATACTATTGTCTTTTAGGGAGCTACTGAATGGTCTAACTGTTACCATATTGCTGGTGATAATAATCCGTTGGCTGTGAATAGAGCGGCAAATAACATCTCATCTTTATTGACCAAGAGCCAAATTAAAGAAGGGTAAAAATTTAATTTAAAAGATTTTGTACCATTTCTTAGGCTTACATAATCACTTTTCTTACCGACTTTATGAATTAATATCCCCAGTGCATGGTCATGGTGACATCCTCATAACCAAAATGAATACTATGAGACTCCATTAAATTTTAAAACCGTTTATTGAGGGGCGCCTGGGTGGCTCAGTCGGTTAAGCGTCTGACTTCGACTCAGGTCATGATCTCACGGTCTGTGAGTTCAAGCCCCGCGTCGGGCTCTGTGCTGACCACTCAGAGCCTGGAGCCTGTTTCAGATTCTGTGTCTCCCTCTCTCTCTGACCCTCCCCCGTTCATGCTCTGTCTCTCTCTGTCTCAAAAATAAATAAACGTTAAAATTAAAAAAAAAACAAACGTTTATGGAAAATAACTTAGAACATGTTTTTTTTATTTAACTATAATTTCCCCACCCTAATGCAACTATGTTTATTTCTGTCTTCTCTTTCCTTATTCATGTATCTTTTTTCCCAAATAGTGAAAGAATATTGTGTTGACTTATTTCAGTTTTTACAAATTTTCACTTTTAATATCTTCATATAGTCTGTTTTTAATAACTGCATAGTATTTCATTGTGTAGAAATACTACAGTCCATTTAGCCTTTCCTCTATTATTTGGCACTTTAAAGCAGTCTCAGAATTAGAAGAAACCTGAAAGCCATTTCCACAGTACCTGAGTGTTCTGTAGGAGATCCTGCCAGTGGCCTTCCAGTCCGTGTAACCATCTGTAATGACCTTCTCTGGAGGCTGTCAATTTGGTCTTTGCACAGCTTTGAGTGCTAGTCGTATCTTTTAGTGAACTGAATTTCTTTCTGTACCTTCTATAGACTTTTTGTAGTTCCACTGGGATCCATAAAGAAAAATCTTATCTCTGGGTCACACAGTGATTGACATCAGATATTTGAAGAGTTACTAAAACTCCCCTTCTTCCTGTCCCACTCCAAATCCACTCTTCTGCAAGCAAAATAGTCCAAGGTCCTTCTCCAACTGTATCCTTTTGATATCTGTGCACTGGAAGTCCATTGGCCTCTGGGAAATTTTGGTTTTTATCTGAGCTGTATGTTGTTACTGTATCTTAAGCCCTGGCTCACTACTCCAGATTATATTCAGTGCCACCACCTGTGCCAGCCTCTCACTATCCTTTTAGTTTGGGCCATCTATGGGAGAATTGGTTGAAATGCCACTTGGTTTTCTATTTATCATTAGAGGCCTCATCATAAAATTGTTTCTCTCGTCTCCTCTGCTGGTGCCCTTCACTTTCTTATAAAGTGGCAAGAATAGGTAGTGAGTGATCAGCAGATTTGTTCAAACATACAGATGCTCCACATTCTGAATACACGGCCCAGGGACATCATTATACCAAACCTAAAAACAGCTGCCTCCTTAATGTGAGGTTTCTGTTTGTAAGTGAAATCAGGGGTTTTAAAATACATATAGTCATTTGATGCAGATATTACTTACACATATTTATTCATGTATTATACCATGTATTTATTATACATGGTATGCCTCATATTGTTTTATGTCTGTATGTCAGTTATCCTCTTCTTTGCTATTTTTCCCCCTTTTAGATTAGAATCATCAGTGCTTCGTTTAGTTCTTTCATACACTGTTCTGTGAGTTTAGTTTATGCCTAATGCTTTTCATTCCTATTTCCTGTTGAGTTTTTTTAAATTTGTTACCTAAAAGCTTAAGTTACAGGCGATCAATGTTGTTGACCATATCCTATAGATTTTGACAATTCTCTATTTTTCTTTTTAAATTCCTGGTTGTGTACTTCTCTCTCTGATCTAGTTGTTTAGGGCAGTGCTTTTCAAACTTGAATGTTGCACATGAGTCACCTGGGGATCCTGTTAACTACAGGTCCTGATTTAGTAGGTTTTGCATGGGACCTGGGAGTTTGCGTTTCCTAGCAAGCTTATGGGTAATACTGATGCTGCTGGGCTGTGGTCCTACTTTAAATAGCAAGGGTTTAGATCATTTTTTTATACATAAGTAGTTGAAAGGTTTTATTTATTTTTTTTTTTTAATTTTTTTTTCAACGTTTATTTATTTTTGGGATAGAGAGAGACAGAGCATGAATGGGGAAGGGGCAGAGAGAGAGGGAGACACAGAATCGGAAACAGGCTCCAGGCTCTGAGCCATCAGCCCAGAGCCTGACGCGGGGCTCGAACTCACGGACCGCGAGATCGTGACCTGGCTGAAGTCGGACGCTTAACCGACTGCGCCACCCAGGCGCCCCAGTTGAAAGGTTTTAATTCATTTTTACATTTGTTTTATTGTGATGAGTTTCTATGGTACATTTTGTTTCATGTTTATCAAAATTTTCTTAGGGCTTAGTAGTCACCAGTTTTTTTTGAAATGTGATAAATATTTTTAAGCAAATTATTTCTTTTGTGTTTTCTGAATATTTTATCTTAATTGCTTTTCAGGCCCTCTGTACCTTGTCTATTCTACCTGTACTATTTGTATCAGTCTATCTAGATTTTTAATATTGTTTTCCTCATTTCTTATTTTGTTGCAGTTATTCGTGCCTGTGATTATAAGACTCATTTTTTTTTTTTAATTCATTCATTTATTTTAAGGGAGACAGCAAGCAAGTGGGGGAGGGGCTGGGAGAGAAAATCCCAAACATGGCTCAGATTCACAAATCTTGAGATCATCATGACTTGAGCTGAAATCAAGAGTCAGACGCTTAACCGACTGAACCATCCAGGCGCCCCAATACTGATATTTTCGTTATCTGTGCTTTTTTTTCTCCCCATTATGGAGTGAGTGCCTTTATTGTACATTTTAAGTTCTTCACTAACTCTGAATATAATAATTCATTTCTACTCATAATCCTTGAGTTGCTTTTAATTCTTAGCCTGTGCATTACTGTCTTTTGTGTTTTTTCATACCAATGGCTTTGACTTAATGAGAATTTATTTCATTTACTATAGTCCTTATCTTCTGTCATCTGTTTTTTCAGCCTTTTTCTTTGCCTTATTTTTTTATAGTAGAATACATGTTCTTTAATTTTCAAACAAGTATCTCTGTATCTACTAATTTTACATATCTGTTTCTTTAGGTCTCCTGTTATTACTACCTACACTTACCAAACTATAGAGGTGTCATCTCATAATCTTATTCCTGTGTGCATCGATGTTTTACATTCTCAGTTATATAATTTACTGCCTCATTACTGTTGCCATCTTTACAGTTCTTTGTGTTGCAATCTTGTTTACCCCTTTAGTTTTTCTTAAATTGTAGATGAAACCAGACATCTTTTGAAAACCAATCTTAACTGCTTTTTAAATCATCATTAGATTTTGTCATCATAAAAGTTTTATCACATGACTATGCGTTCTTCCGACATTCTGTTTTGAAATTTTTGTTTAAGTTAATGTTTGTCACTATCATTTTAGTAGCATTTTCTACTTTATATCAGTCTCTTCAGAAATGTTTTTAGATTTCATACTTCAGAGTAAGCATCTTTCCTTTGCCCCATAGCAAAGTGTCCTGGGGCTTGCCCATAGATGCTGTTCAGTGGGATATCTGCAATCTGCCATTGAGAACCGGTTCTGTGGACATTATTGTAACAGACATGCCATTTGGAAAAAGGTGGGACTTGGCTTTTAAAAGATTAGTTTTACCTTCACTTGTTAAACTAGTACTGAATTTGTCTTCTAAATCTGTTCATTTCTTTGAACTTATTCTATTAAGAATTATGAAATGATAAAACAAATTATATGATAGATTCACCCAATTTGTTTCTTCTGAGAACTCATGAAGTAACTACATTTTGATCTGACTGTCACAGGTTAATCCACTTCCTGGCCCATTGTTGGATTACAGGATACTATACAAAGGTTGAGGAAAACTTGGTTCTATTTCTCAGGATAAATGTTTTCTCATCATTGGTTTGGTTTAGATGTTTATTTTACTCATTAAGAGAACTACTAGAGGTGTCAAAAAAATTTTGTAGCCAGTTCATCTGATTCATTATTTCTAAGCAGTTTACTAAATCTGATCACTCATTTCATTGGCATATGCAAGTGAAGCTGTGGCTTCTAAAGGACAACTGTTTTGGCTTGAGAATTTTCTTACTGTAATGAGTTTTTCACTTCTCATTTCATGTAGTCCTAGTTGTTTATCTGTTAAGTGTTTGATTCACTGGACCTTCTTTTATAGGATGGGCTCCAAAAAGAGAAACTGGAACCTTTATCCAGCTTGCCTACGGGAGATGAGCCGCGTCTGTAGACCAGGGACAGGCCGAGCTGTGCTACTTACTCAGGACAAGAAATGCTTTACCAAGGTGCTGTAAATTAGCCCCGGAACTCACCCTGTGGCAGCTGTAGGATCTTTTAATTTAAACTTAGGGATATTAGTTTGAGTAGGATTTGTTTGCTCTTACCCCCCAGTTTCTTTCAACAAGACCTCTGGTTGGTCTATAAGCAGACTTTCCGCTAATTACTTCTGTGCTTTTTGTGTATACACAGGCATTATCCGGAATGGGACATGTTTGGCGGAAGGTGCATACCGTTTGGGTGAACATAGGGGGTCTTCATGCAGCAGTTTATCTTCTGAAACGTACACCTCAAGCTTTTGTTCATCCTGTAGAACAAAATGGGGAAAGAACTCCTTGGTGATGCAAAGAATAGAGATGGTTTATGGTATTTGTGCCTCTTGACACTGGGAATGTCAGCATGTAGTATTTGGTTTGAGAGAAAAATAGCGTTAATAAAATTGCAGATTAAATTGGTCGAAAGCTCTTCACCTTAATTAGCAAAAGGAATTGAAAGTCTTAAGCAGAGCTTTGGAGCTTTTTTGAAGGAGTAGCTAGGCAATTACTACTGAAAATGCTTTCAAGATCCAAAGGCTACTAAAATGCTCCGGGATTTGAGTTTCGAGTATTTCTTTTCAGGCTTCATAGCAGTTCCTATTTTCCATTGTAGCAGGTAAAAAGCTACCCTGGCTTAATGGAAAAGAAAAGAACATAATCAGAACATTTTGGGCCACACTGCATTGTCTATGCAGCTTTGCTCTTTAGTTTTTTGAGTTGGCTTTACCTCACCTTTAAAAAAATGAAGCATTTACATTTTGTGAAATAGTGTTGGCCCCATGACAAGATGAAATCTCACAAGACCAACTGGAAAGTTTACCATCTGCCTTACAAATTAAAATATGCATGTTATTGAAATCAATACATGAAAATAGAGGACTAGGACTGATTAAAGGAATGGCAGATATTTTACTGTTAGCAGTATAGGACATTGCTGTTGTAAACAGCAAATACACTGATGGGACCAACAAGCCAAACTTAATTTTTCTATCAGCACAGAAAGTCACACATTAACCTGCCAAAAGTATTTTTGTTTTTAAAATGACTGCAGACACACTGATGTATCTTTGAATTAAAAACTTTATGAGAATTCTATTTTCTCTTGGATCTGTATTCATATTTAGCTGTTTTTCCAGTTGCAGAAAACTGAGACAGTAGAAAATAAAAAGAACATTAAGTCCTTGTGACAGTGGTGCTTGCCTGGGACAAAGAGTGGTTGGGTACATGTGGGATTCTTTATAGTATTCAGAGTTTATTTGGGAGTTTCTGGCTGCATTCAGCCTAGATTTTCAGTGTCCTGTTAGTAATATATTAGTACTACTCATTCCCTTCTTAAATAGCTCATGTTCAGACACAGCACTTCTTTCTTTTGAAAGAGTTCACACTAGCAGCATAGCCAACAGCCCTAGTAGTCTGGTTTCTCTCTGATCTACTACCCCATACTTCAGAATGAATTAGAAATGAGACATTTATAAGGGGTGTGTATCCTAGACTGGAGTTTTTACTATCAGAATGCACAGTTACACTATTTTGGGTTCAACATAAAACAATCTTTCACATCTAATACACCATTTTAACGTCTGTTGGTCAGTAATCTGCAGAACTGGGAAAGTACAAGGGCCATATCTCTTGTCACCACTGTTTACCATGTGCCTGACATAGTACCTACCAGCGTGGGCATAGTTGCTAATAAACAAATATTTTTGCATGTTGGCCTAATTTTTAATTGTAACAAACTTGGGTTTGAGCCATCATAGCTTTAGTTCTATGAAATACCACTGTAAAAACATGACAAGACTAATTTTAAGATGATGCACATATGCAGTGTACACTCTCTACCACTTTGCTATCTTCCTCCCATTAGGTTTTTTAATATGGTGACAGAACAGGAAATGGGCTGAAGACTGAAGAACTGGGATGGAGCTATACATGATGCAATCACCAAGTAGTTATGTGACCTTGAACCAGGCCTCCTGTACCATGGGAATGTGAAAAGGGAAGGGAATCTGAACACAAAATGACTTAAGTTATGAACCAGACATTCTGTTATTGTAAGAGTCCATAAACTTGAGGGAAACAAAAAATAAAAGATTTCGTAAGTTTAATGGAAGTATGACGGTTATCTCCTAAGGACTGACAATGTCTAGGGCTAGAAAGAGAAACATTTGTTGAAATGCTCCTTTTAAAATAGTAGGAAGACTTTCAGGAAACTGCCAAAACTGTAGGTTCTGGTATATCCATGTTAGATACGGCTCAGGTCTCCACTGCATGGGCCCAAAGCTGAAGATTGAAAAAACAGTATTTTTAAAAGGTCTGTAAAATACCAACAAGTCCAGTAAAGCTTATGAGTGTTTAATATTAGTGAGTTAAGCATATAGATATCCTTATTTTCAACACAGCTTTTCCCAAGTTTAGGTGAGGTGTTTTGTGGGAATTTCAGGGGATATGGTGAAAGTTTTGTACCTTGGCACATTTCTTTTCTTTTTTTTAAAGCTCAGAGGAAACAGGTCTCTCCACCAAATTTTAAGAATGTACATACAGGGCGCCTAGGTGGCTCAGTTGTTTGAGCGTCCGACTTGACTTCAGCTCAGGTCATGATCCTACGGTCATGGGATCCAACCTCCACATGAGCATAGAGCTGGGTTAAGATTCTCTCTAGTGTCCAACTTCAGCTCAAGTCATGATCTCATGGTTTATGCTGAGCCCTGCATTGGGCTCCTTGTTGTCAGTGCAGAACCAGCTTTGCATCTTCTGTCTCCCTCCCCCTGCCCCTCTGCTGGTGATGGTTCTCTTTCCCAAAAATAAACATTAAAAAAAAAAAAAAAAGATGCACTCCATATTTTCACAGAAGTAACTTTATTTTCGACAGTGATGCTGTTTTATATTATTGCAACTCATTTACATGTCTGCCTTAATAGAAGGCACTGGATTTTTATCTTCACGTTCAATTGGTTGAGATGTTAACTTATTTGCAACTTTTTTTTCATTTCATGTATTGGTCATTTGGAAATTATGGTTTACTGAGTTACATAAATCTCCCAAGCCCTGGTCCAGTTTATAATATCTACAAATCATATTTATATCACCACTTAGCTCATTAAAAAAAAAAACCCAAAAGTTCCTTTAATCATTAGGAAGAGGAGAAACTGATAGTGGGTAGAAGTTTTCCCAAATTCTAATTTTCACTTCAGAGTTTGAGTTTATCACTGACAAGTGCTGTCAACTGTTTTCTTTGAAAGGTACTTCTTTACATTTAAAAAAAAAAAAAAAAAAGTGCCTGCCAGGGGCGCCTGGGTGGCTCAGTTGGTTAGGCCTCTGACTTCGGCTCAGGCCACCATCTCACGCTCTGAGTTCAAGCCCCACATCAGGTTCTGCGCTGACAGCTCAGAGCCTGGAGCCTGTTTCAGATTGTGTCTCCCTCTCTCTCTGACCCTCCCCCATTCATACTCTGTCTCTCTGTCTCAAAAATAAATAAATGTTAAAAAAATTTTTAAAAATGTCGGCCAGATAGCCAACTCTGACAGTCATTGAAGTAAAAATGCTGTGAAAAGAAAATCACTAATTCAGCCTGCAAGTCAATCACATGACCACTTTTTCGTAAGACAACCACTGTACTTTAAACAAGAAGCTGGAGTCCTATATGCAAACTTTGTATTTCAGTACTCATACTAAGACAGGGAAGGAGGCAAACCATAAGAGACTCTTAAATACTGAGAACAAACTGAGGGTTGATGGGTGGTACGAGAGAGGGGAAAGTGGGTGATGGGCATTGAGGAGGGCACCTATTGGGATGAGCACTGGCTGTTGTATGGAAACCAATTTGACAATAAATTACATATTAAAAAAAAAATAAAGTTCCATACTCAAGGTCCAGGTTTCACAAAATAACTTTACTGTTTTCACAGGAAAGCTGAAACTGCCGCCACCCTTTCCCCTTCCAATGCATGGCAGTCAATACTATAGTTTGATGCCACTGCCTTGATTAATGCCGAGATGCAGGCAGCTTGACCAACTTTTGCTTTTTCACTGTTAGTGAAAATACCAGGATAAACCAGAGGATTTTAAAGAGTTGTTAAAGGGATGCCTGGCTGGCTCAGTCGATAGAGGATACAAGTTTTCATCTCAGGGTTTGTGAGCTCGAGCCCCACACTGGTGTAGAGATTACTAAATAAAATAAATAAAATAATTAAATTACTCAACACTTTAGCTGGTTCAGGACATGCTGGGTTTGTTGCCAAGCTTTGACAGAATAGTCTCTGACTAGCTGATGCAAGACAAATACATGCAAAATAACAAGCCCAGCCATGTTTGTCAGGCTTAAATATACTTCTACAGGCGAGGTATTAACCCAGACTTCAAGTCTGCAACACGGTGTTTAACATGACCATGTACTGTTGAAAAAAATGGCACTGCCGTGATTTTTACTTTTCAACCAGCAGACAATCAGGAATGTCAACTGTGTATATGGCTCTTTGTAAAGTTTCTCAGCTATTGTGCAAGGTTTCTCCAGCCCATGTAATACAGTAATTCATCCTTTAAGGTATTTCTGTCACTTTTTTTTAGTTTCTTTGCAGTTGATTCTTCCTATGAGAACTCTGCAATATATTACTGTTTAATCTTTTTTCCATTTTTAGACAAAGATGGTGGGTGTGGGTTGAACAAGTAGTCTTACAATTTTTTAAACCCAGTGACCCATTCTTTAAAAAATACAGGGGTGCCTGGGTGACTCAGTTGGTTAAGCATCTGACTCTTGATCTTGGCTCAGGTCATCATCTTGCAGTTCGTGTAGGGCTCTGTGCTGACAGTGTGGAGCCTGCTTGGGATTCTCTTTCCCTCTGTGACACTCCCACACTTGCACACGTGCTCTCTCAAAAAAAAAAAAAAAAATATATATATATATATGTACATATAATTAGTTTTAGAATAAAGTTACTCTTAAAAAGTTGTATTTAGATACAAAAATTTAGGAGTTTTAAGGAAATATTTAAAACATTGCAGCAACAGAAAGTACTTACATTTATGCTTAGGCAAAACGAAAATTACAGGATTTCAAAATAACAATTGCACAATACTGGGGGTTGCTGGGATTGTAGAAGGTATAACCTAAAAACTAATTTCTAGAAATGTAAATATTCACACCCTAAATACACCGCCTTAAGAAATTCTAGATAATTCAACATATATAGCACCCTTTGATTAGTATCAGTGAGGTCATCACACATTGTATAACCCCTGCACACTTGTGAGAATGAGCTAAAAAGGTAAATAACATCATCTCAGTATTAGGAAAGTTTTGACCCTGAAGGCCTCTTTATGCAACAAGGACACAGCCAGAAAAAAGCGCTGTCCTGTCCTCAAGGAGCAATCTAAAAAGGTGGGGGAAAACTTGAATCAGACAATTAGTAACTTAATTATAATGGTCAGAAGTGCTGTGACAACATTCAAGTGAGAGACCCAATGTAGCAGAGCTAAGGGCACCAAGGTAGGCTTCCTTAAGAAGTGTGCTGAGACAGTTCTCAGCAATTGACATGGTCAGTTATTGAGTCCTTTCGCTTCTTTCCATTTTGATTGCCATCACTCTACACCAAATCACCCCATACCTCATGTCTGAACTACTGTAAAAGAACTTCAAATTTCTCCATCCCTGGAACCCATCTGGTATCCTGTAGTCAGATTAATTTCCTAAAAGACTGTTTCCAATAGAGAAAGGTAGTTGAATCTAGAATCCCTGGCCCTTAACAGATTAAGGTTTTTCAACCTCAAGGAGTTCTAGTTTTCTACTCTGGAAGATGGGATTTTATGTATGAGGACCACACTAAATACACTGGCAGTTTAGCACACTATGTGTTACAGAAGTGGCATTCCATGATTATTCATTTCTTCTAACCCAACTATTTACATTAGCCTCCTATAGCAGGCACTAGAACCATGTTGTCATTATTTATTATAGTAAATAGTTTGGGAAGAGATTTTTAACCAAAGGTCAGGAAAAAGAAGAAAGGTTATGAAGAATGTTGACTGACTTGACCAGAATCCATACCCTAGAGGTGGGGTTAGGTTAGTTGGCTAGTAAAATAATCAATGCTATAAACATAATCTGAAAATATGTTACTGCTGTCAACAGGAAGATCCAATATTAAACATGTTTAAAAAAAAACCCAAAAACTAAAAAACAGGATGACTAAGTGCCAGGGCAAATTGGTAAAAATCGGTGTTAACTGTGAACTCTAGGCAAAAACCTGGAAAGCAAGATTATTAAATGTAATCATGACTATGAGATGCAATCAAAGAGGCAGAAATAGCCTCTGTAATCACCAAGAAGGTATATACCATGATATCAGGATACTCAGGTTCAACCCTGGCTTGGATAAAATAAACCTCAATGTTTAATTCCATGCTACTAACAGCTCTCTAATAATCCAGTTTCTTACCCACTCCATCAAGAATGGGGAGTCATGGATAAGGAAAAAAAAGTCTTCTGAAATATGTCCTCCAGCATAAAGTTGTATGCCAGTAGGTAAAATAACAAAAAATTCCCAGCCTGCCAAAGTGCTCTACATAAGATTGGCCTAAAAATAGTCAAAGTAGTCTTATCCTTGTGATGCTGATCCCTATCAAATTCTGGATTAAGAGTTGCAAAGCATAATGATACCAAACCTCCTCTTTGCATAAAAAATACATGGCAGGAACATTATGTGGCTCAAATTT